ACACACACACACACACACACACACACACACACACACACACACACACACACTTAAAAATCAGGGACTAGAGAATAGCTAAGGGTGTAAGAGTCCTCACTGAGGTAGCAGCAAGAGGACCTGAGTTTCAATCCCCAGGATTCACCTAAAAACTTTAAAAAGAAAACAAACAAACAAAACACCTTTAAAAAGCTAAGTGTGCCTCCCCCTGAGGGGGGAGCAGCCTTGCCAGGCCAGAGAGGAAGACAATGTAGCCAGTCCTGATGAGACCTGATAAGCCAAGGTCAGAAGGAAGGGGAGGAGGACCTCCCCTATCTGTGGACTTAGGGAGGGGCATGGAGGAGAAGAGGAAGGAAGGATGGGCTTGGGAGGGGAGGAGTAAGGGGGCTCCAGCGGGAATACAAAGTGAATAAACTTTAAATATAAAAAATATATAATAAATATATAATATATAATAAATATAAAAAATAAATTAATAAAAAAAGCTAGTTGTGGCTACACATGCCTGTTACCTTCACTGCCCATGGGGGAGGGGTGGATGGCCACCACCCAAAGCCCACATTCATTGAGAGAGCCTTTCTTAAAGGAATAAGGCGGTGAGAGAGCCTGACAGCAGACACCAGGTGTCCTCTCTGGTCTCTTCAGTCACCTGTGGGTGTGCCCACCTGCACATACACATTTATACCATATACACACCTCCAGATGTAATGTGTAAGTTTAATTTTGCTTCCTTAATTTCTCTCTCTCTCTCTCTCTTTTTTAGTATTTTGATTGTTTGCCTTTGATTTTTGGTTTTGGTTTTTACAAGTCAGGGTTTCTCTGTGCAGCCCTGGCTGTCCTGGAACTTGCTCTGTAGACCAGGCTAGTACTGAACTCACTACCGCCACCCTTTTTGGTATTTTGAGATAGGGTTTCTCTGTGTAGCTTTGGCTGTCCTGGACTGGACTCCCTTTGTAAACCTGGCCTTGAACTCAGAGATCCGTCACCACATCCAGCTTGCTGCCTTAATTTCGATGGGGTAAGAATATACAATGAAGGCTGTATAGCTACTGAAAAAAAACAAAACACTACTTTTTCTTTTTTTTCCCCGAGACAGGGTCTCATATATCATACAGCCCAGGTTGGCCTAAAACTCTATTTAGCCAAGTTTTAGAGTTTTACTGCTATGATAAACAGTATGATTAAATGCAAAGAGGAAAGGGTTTATTTCATCATACAGCTCCATCAGGAAGGGAAGTCAGGGCAGGAGCTGGTGCAGAACCGTGGAGGAGTTCTGCTCACTGGTTGCTCCCCATGGCTTGCTCAGCCTGCTTTCCTATAGAAGCCAGATCACAGCCCAGAGTGGTATTGTTGACAGTGAATTGGGCCTCCCACAACGAGTCACTGAGTAAGCAAAAGTCTTACAGGCTCCTTTGCAGAGGCATTTCTTTCAGTTGCGGTTCCACAGTCTTAGGTAACCCGAGCTTGTGTCAAACTGACATAAAACCAGCCAGCACAGCAAGAATGACCTTGTAAGGCCAGGCATGGTAGTGCATGTCTGTAATCCCAGCACTCTGGAGACAGGTGGATCTCTGAGTTGGAGGCCAGCCTGGTCTAGGACAGCCAGAACTACACAGAGAAACCCTGTCTTGAAAAACAAAACACAAAAGACTGTGTGTACTCCTTATCCCCCCAGAATGCTCCTATGACAGGTATGAGTCATAATGGACAGTTCCAAATGTATTTCTTTTTTCCCTTGTCACCCGAAGGTGATTTAACAGTACTAGTATGTGTTTCATCCTAGCATTCTGTAGGCTGAGGCACATAGATGGTGAATCCCCAGGCCAGTTGGGGATACATATTGAGACCCTGTCACAGAAAAGCAAAAACAGGGCCTGAGAGATGGCTGAGCAGTTAAAGAGCACTGGCTGCTCTTGCAGAAGACCTAGGATTGAGTCCCAGCACCCACATGGTGACTTACAACTGTCTGTAACTCCAGTTTCAGGGGATCCAGTCCCTTCTTCTGACTACCTCACACACTACACAGTTGATAAACAGACACACAAACAGGCAAAATATTCTACACATGAATAAAATAATTTAAAATAAAAAAATAAAAACAAACAAACAAACAAACCTACACACACCAAGACCAACGTGGCTGGGAGAAATGGCTTGTGTCTTAATCCCAGAACTGGGGAGGTAGAGACAGGCCAATCTCCATGAGTTTGAAACAAGACTTGTCTACACAGCAAGTCCAGGCCAATCAGAACTACACAGTGAGACCAAAATAAACAACAAATCAAGCAACCAATCAAACAACCCTAAATTCTCCAAAAATATAAGTGTGGTATTTTCTTTCTTTTTGTTTGTCTTTCTACATAGCCCTGGCTGTCCTGGAACTCAAAGATATCTGCCTACCTCTGCTTTCCATGTACTGGGATCAAAGGTCTTTGAATCTTTTAAATTATATTTATTTGTTTGTTTTGTATGCGTGTTAGGGTGAAGGAAATATGTGCCATAGAATATGTGATTACAACTTGTGAGAATCAGGTATCTCCTCCCACCATGTAGGTCCCAGGGTTCAAACTCGGGAGTCAGGCTTGGTGGCAAGCTCCTTTGCCCACTGAGCCATCTCAACAGCCCAAACTTGTTATCTACACGGATGTCTAAGCCTCAACTCCAAGCCGGCTCCCCACTCCCCTATCTCTTTCTCTCCTTCCTTTTTCTCATGGACTTCAGAGCCCCCATTCCACGCCTCCCTCAGCAGCCAGGGGATCCCAAGTCACATAATTCCCCACTTCTGTGTCTAGGCACCCTGTTCTTTCCTGTCACCTCCCACCCATCTGAATTCCTCAAATCTTTCCATCTGTGACTACTAAGTCATTGTCCCCAGGAACCATGCGGGGGTAAAAGCCAGATTCCCAGAGCCTCAGGCAACAGGTCTGCTGCTCAGCAGGGTTTGCAGGGAACTGGGTGAGATGCAAACTGTTCAAAAAGGAGACAGAGAATTCATAGTGGGCAGTCAGTACCCACATCCTCCAGCTCACTCATGCCATAACCAGCTCTTTTCACCCACTTCAGTCATAAAGCTAGAAGAGTTCTGTTGCTGAATTACTGTATATTACTATTGTTACTTTTTTTTTTCATGTAGGGTCTGTGTAGCCCTGGTTGTCCTGGAAGTCACTCTGCAGACCAAGCTGGCCTCAAACTCACAGAGATCCTCCTGTCTCTGTTCCTGAGCGATGGTATTAAAGGCGCGTGCCACCACACTGGCCTCCTAAATTCAACTTCTGACTTCATCCCTCCCCCTTCCTCCTGCCACACACACTCCCAGTTTCTATGGTGCTGTGTGTTTGCGCTTACTAAGCAAGACTAGCCCCAACCTGGCTCTAGATGGTAGACATTTTAGACCTAGAGGGTCACTGGGTCTCTTTCTCAATCCTTTGACCTCTTTGTAACATTCAAAGGACTACTGTGTATCAGTATGTAAACTAGCAGCTGTGGCTATTTCATCTGTTACAGATGTTTCAATAAAAACTTCTCAGCGTAGGGACTCACACCTATGAATCAAGCATGGGGCTGACTGAGGCAGAAGGACCTGGAGTTTAAAGTTAGCCTGCACTCCATTGAGAGAATCTGACTCAGATAAACCAACTGTTTTTTTTCCAGACAAGGTCTGATATATCCTTGACCTTGCAATGTAGCTAAGGATGGCTTTGACTTTCTAAACCTCTTGCTATTTTCTCTTGAATGTGCACCACACTCCATTTATACTCTACTGGAAATGGAATCCAGAGCTTCATGCCTGCTAGACAAACACATTTATTAGCCAGTTGTGGTGGTGTATGCCTTTAATCCCAGCACTCAAGAGGCAGAGAAAGGGACAGGCAGCTCTCAGTGAGTTGCTGTACAGTCAGGGCTAAATAGAGACCCTGGCTCAAAAAACAAACAAAACAAAAATAAAAAAATAATAGATAAATTTACATTTATTTAGTTTGTGGCATTGAGGCATGTGCCAAGGTTAGAGGACATGTTGTGGGCACCAGCTCTCTCCTTCCACCCTGTGAGTTCTGAGGATCAAACTCAGGCCATCAAGCTTGGCCACAGGCCCGTTTGCCTGCTGACCCAGCTTCCTGACCCCATTTTTCATTTTTATTTTCCCCTTTGTTTTGTGACATGATCTAGCTGTATTTTTGGGCGGCCCAGAGCTCACTATTTAGCCAGGCTGGTTTTGAACTAATGATTTTCCTGCCTCACGAAGCCTTTGGGTACAATACACAGATTGTATATAACCTTGTTCCAATTTTCATTAAGTGATCTTGGGCAACTACTGAAAAATGACACAACAGTCTTTCTTGTTGACCCTGGTTGTCATTCTAGCACTGAGACTTCCTGAGCACCTTGGCTGTCATTCCAGCCAGCACTAAGAGTACACACACACACTCCAGGAGGACTGCTGGGACTTAAGGCCATTTTGGGCTACATAAACTGTCTCAAAAACAAACCAAAATACCCCCACTCAATCTTAAACTAACGATTGGGTTTTCTTTGGCCTACATGGGCCTGAAGTGTCCTGGCACACTGTCACGGTGCCGTGCGGTTTCTAACACCACTCTATTTGCTCCCAATTCTACACTAACCTTTGTCTTTCTCTTTATGCCCATAGAACTTTCCTGACGAGACTCTGAACTGTCCGAACTGGGAGTCATTGGTAGACTGCACCCAGCGGTTCCTCCAGCGCTCTGTGGGGAGACAAAAGGGTTAGCGTTGCAAAGTGCACGGGGTCCAGAAAACGGACGGTGGACACAAGCTAGCAGCCACCACAGCCTTCACCTCCGTCTAGAAACTCCTCTTGGAAGAAAATAGTGGCCAACGCCACGCGCAGCACGCAGATGGCCCAGAGAGACACGTGAGCCAGGGCCATGGCTGCGCGCGCGACTTCCGCTCTCTGCTCTCATGCGTCTGTCCCGCCTTCGAGGCGTGACCCAGAAACTACAACTCCCGTGACGCCTCGCGATTGTGACCTGAGGCATACATTAGTGAGAGGAGCGCGGTGGCGGACGGGAAATGTAGTCTCTAGAGGCTCTGGCGCGGTCTCCTGGGGCAACCGCATACTAGGATCTGTGCTTTGAAGCCGAAACCAGGCGGGAAGAGGCCAACGCAGCTACTCAGGTGACCTCACAGTGAGCACCTGGGTTCGGGAGGGATTTGCGGGAAGGTGGACTGCATTTGTGCGCCTCGGTTTCCCCATCTGGAGGACATTGGAACGTGATCCTGTAGGGCTTTTTCACAAAGGGGAGGAAACTGAGTGGCGGTAGTGTAGAATGCTTAGTTCCTTTGTGTGTTTTGTTAATTGTTTGGGACTGCATCTCAGATAGCCCTGGCTGGCCTGGAGCTCCCTCTGTTGTAGAGACTAGCCATCAACTCCTGATCTCCAGCAACACTTCCCAAGTGCTTGAGATTGCAGTCATGCACCGTAAGGATCATGAATATAAAAAAAGAAAAAAGTTTTTGTTTTTTTTTTTTTCTTTTTTTCAAGACATGGTTTCTCTGTGCAGCCCTGGTCGTCCTGGAATTTTTTGTAGACCAGGCCTGCCTCTGCCTCCTGAGTGCTGGGATTAAAGGCATGGGCCACCATGCTAGGCCTTATTTAAAACTTTTTAAACAGTACATATAATAAAAGGTTTTACATTTATTTATTTATATGTGGTCAGAGGACAAATTGCAGGACTCAGTTCTCACTTTCCACATTGTGGGTTCTGGGAATAAACTCAGGTCGTTGAGGGCAAGGGTCTACCAAGCCAGTACCTTTCCTGTCCGTGTTTTAAAAGTAGAGTAATATTCTACCCTCTGCATGGATCTCACTTCCCTGGTTCACTCAGTAATTCGTAGGCATCTGGGTTTGTGGGTTTTGTATTTTGTGAATGATCTATGAACATATGCATACATTTCTGTTTCTCTTGTGCCCCTTTGGAGTTGAATTGCTGCTTAGATAGTAACTCTAGGTCTATTGCCCTGTATCTCTTTCTTTCCTTTATTGTGTGTGGAGACCAACCTTGTTCAAACTCTAGCAGGCAGTGTGATTTTTCTGTCACATGGGAGATTTTGAATGCAGGAGAGTAAGATAAGGGGCTGTTGGAAAGAAGCCGTGTTGGGCCAGCCAGATGGAGTATTGGAAACAGTGCAAGCTCAGTTCCAGGAACACACATGGTAAAGATCTGCTGTTTGTTTTCTGACCTCCACACATACAAACATATATGCACACACACACACAAATGTATCACATAGAAAAATACACACCATAAGTAGAATGCAATCAAGTGTTTAAAAAAAACCTTTAGAAAAGAGTGGCTGGAGAATGGGTCCACAGTTAAGACTACTGTTTGCTCTTGCAAAGGACCTGGGTTTCACTCCCAGCACCCACGTGCCACTCACAGCTGTCTAACTCCAGGTGCAAGGATCCCACATCTTCTGACCTCAGAGGGCTCCTGCATGCATGAGGTTCATATACATACACTCAAGCACACAAACATATCTCCATAAAATTGTTTTTGGCTTTGTTGTTTCAGTTTTTCAAGACAAGGTTTCTGTATGTAGGCCTGGCTGTCCTAGAACTCACAACTCACTCTATAGATCAGACTAGACTCAAACTCAGAGATCTGCCTGCCTTTGCATCCTGAATGCTGAGTGTTGGTCTAAATAATTAACAAACCTACTTTATTTAGGGTTATTAAATGTTCCTACCTCCCTTCCAATCCCCCAACACCAGATAGGAGGGAAAGAAGGTTAGTGGGGACAGGGGGGTGGAGTTCTCTCTGCTACTTCCCTTTGGGTAGGGTGACCAATATCAGTCGACCAGAAGTCCAGGTAACCAGCAAATCAGCAAACAGCAAACGCAGCAGCAGGTCGAACCAGCAGCTGTGCCTTCTTCATATGGGCTGTCATATTTATAACCTCTCAAAATCCTCAGAATTCAACTGATTCCACCTGGGGAAAGCCACGTTCCACACAAGACACTTAATAGGTGTGGACAAACTAAAACCCCCCTATTTGGAATTTTAACAAAAACATGTTTACCTATCATAAACCAAAACGTCAACAACATTTCCCCCTTTCTGTTTCAAAAAAAAAAGTTGGCTTTCCCCTAACATCAATAAACTATGTACAATAAGAATTAGGAGAATTATCAGGTAAGATCACATTCACAATTTCCAGTCCATTTGTATTTGGCAATCTTGGGGAAAAAAATACTCCATTTTCCATCCTATCCTGTTGAGTCCTAAGTTCTGTACCTAAACCATTTTCTTCTATCAACTTGAAAACATCTAGACCTTAAACTTGGTTATAGTAAAACTGTGACTGTCTAGTCTTCAAGCTCATCAGAGACGCTAGAAGGAAAAAAATAATACCTAACCATATAGGAAGCATAGAACAAACAGCTTCCAGAACTATAGAAATGAGACAGTTGACTGTCTGGACAGTCAGCAGAGGTTTCTCTGTGTCGTTTGGGCATCCAAGTCTTCAGCCTACTGGCCCAGAGTATCAGGTTTTCCTGTGATGTGAAACAGGAATTTTGAAGGACTGACCACTTAGTCTCTGCAAAATTAGATAGTTCATTTTCTAGTGTCAGTTTGTTCATAGTTTGCTCAGACACCCTGCTATCAGCAGTTGAAGGACAGTTTTTTCTCCAGTGGCTATCCTGCCATGTGTTTCTTTGATGCCCATCATCTTCTTGGAAGTATATTAGAAGTACTTCTAGGAGAAGATGTGTCTCTTTTTCAGAAAAGCCTTATATTATTAAAATATTCTATAGATCTCTGAAGTATTTGAAGACCACCTACTTATCTACTGTTAAATAGTGCATAATCCTATCTGTCCATCTGACTAAGGAGCAACATTGCTTGTGTCTAGCTGTGTGCTATCTACTTAACCTTGAAAACATATACAGGAGACTAAATAAAGCTTATTTCTGTAATTAACTAAACTAGTGTGTAACAAAACTACAAGTTAGATTATTTATAGGTTGCTAACTACTAAATTGCATTTCCAATCATCCTGAACAGTTTGCAATAGTTTTCATAAGACTAGAGTTTTACAACACCACAGTTTCAAATGAGCTGCATATGTACAATACATTAAGCAAAAGTTGAATAAAATATCCTTAAATTTCTGTCAGTATACAATAATCCATACCAATACATAATATTTGACCCTGGTAGATTCCGTAATCTGCCTTTTATTCTGTAGTCTTATATCCCTCTCCCTCTTTTTTTTTTTTTTTCATTTTTCTTTTTCTTTTCCCTAATACTGGCTAAGAAAGAAAAAAATAGAGGGGGAAATGAAAAGAGATCCCTGATTTTTTAACCTTTACTTTTTTTCCCCTTACCATGACCAACCAACCAACCTACCAACTAACAACACCCCACCCCATCTCTTGGAAAATGGGGGTGTCACGTTCTTAAATTTTGTTGTTGTTATTGTCCCGGGGGAAAACATCTTTTTTGGTACCATTTTTAAAAAGTTAGGATATTGGCCAAGCACTGATGTGTTTTTTCTGTCTAGTCTCTGGTTTTTGTTCAGTCTCTTGAGTTATTTTGTCCAGTCTCTCTGTTTTCTGTCTAGTCTCTGTGAAGTTGATCATTTGGGCTAGTCCTTTTGAACCTGACCTGGGTGTAGAATCTTTTTTTTTTTTTTTTTTAAGATTTATTTATATAAACAGTGTTCTGTCTACATGTATGCCTACAAGCCAGAAGAGGGCACCAGATCGCAGTATAGATGGTTGTGGGCCACCATGTGGTTGCTGGGAATTGAACTGAGGACCTCTGGAAGAGCAACGAGTGCTCTTAATCTCTGAGCCATCTCTCCAGGCCCTGGGTATAGATTCTTGAAGAAACAGTAACTGAGTTACTCTGGAAGGCTGAAATCACCTAGGCTACTTGCATTATCTTTGTTTGGTCTTTTGCTCTGAAAATAAACAAATTTTAAAGGTAATATTATAAGTCCCTTTCTGCATCATGAAGATCAGGTAGCCAATAAGATTCATTTATCATGCAAATACATTCATGTCTCAGCTAGTTTCCCTGGTCAAATCTAATCTTTATAAGTTTTGTTGGTAACCATATTTTTTCACTCCCTGTAGATACATAACCACACCCCCACCTCAAAACCATTTCAGGTTTCCATTCTGCTGTCACATGTCCTTATAATAAATGCGTGTTCTAGTTCTACATTTTTTTCTTTAACCCAGTGCCTCTCAGCTGCTGTTGTTCCCTTTTCACCAGCATTAAGAAAATTTAGAGTTAACAAAGCATTATTTAGCCTGTCCCTTGGGGTCTTTACTCTCCCTTTTTGTTTAATGAGCATCTCTTTTCAAGTCTGAAAGGCTCTTTCTGCAACTGCCTGCCCTGTGTGCCTGTGTGACTGTGTGGTGTATGTGTGTGTGTGTGTGTGTGTATAAAATCAGTAATGTGCCTTATTTTATAATATGCAAAGAATTGCTTCACCTTACTGGACACATACACAGGGGCATTATCAATCCTAATTTGTGCAGGTAGCTGCATAATTGCCATTCTTTCCAACAATGTGTAATTACAGAATCAGCCTTTTCAAAACTTAAAGCAGTTGCCCATTGGAACCTGAATATGGACCTATGGTGTGCTGTGCATACTGCTTTCCAAATTCTGCAAAATGAAACAGACCCATCTGCCGGGTTTCGTTTCCTTAGGTACCCTAGGCTTCCTCCCAGCTGGTAGTGGAGTTGGGTTGGTTATACTGAGAACACATACTGAGAACACCTTCCTCTCCTCCCCCTTTGGCTTGTTGCCAAGTGATAGAAACATTTTTCTTTAAACTTTATTGTTAACGTGGTGTTTTTAATGAAATTCAAGGCTTCTAACACATTTCCTATTATGTGTTCATTGGTTATAATTGGTTCATTTCCTCATGCCAATAGACCTGGCAAACCTGTATGAGATTGAATATGAGTAATATATAATAATAGATAGTTTCTACTTCTGATGGCCTGTTGCAATTGCATAAATAACAAAGTCAATTCTGAGTTATCAGAAATCACTTCAGCAGGTTTCTGTATAAAAAACAACTCTTTCTGCATATTGAGAGTGAGTAATTATACTAAGAGTTTCAGGAAAATCTAATAATACCATAAGGATCGCATATAATTCTGATTTCTGAACTGAAGAATGTGGGCTTTTAATCACCTTGCTTATTTTGTCTGATTTATAACCTGCCAGTCCCACCTTGTTTGCATTGGTATAGAATGTTGGTGCCTCTGGGATTGGTGTTCCCTTTACAATAGTGTAAGAATCCAACTAGTTCTTTTTATAAATTGTATATATTTGCTTTAGGAATATTTGTTATTAATTTCTCCCAAGTAGTTACTACAAGCTCTTTGCCAGTCTTCATTGATTACCCACAATGACATAATCTCAGTATTAGTAAGAGGCACTATAATTGCAGCCAGGTCCATTCCTGACAATTGATGTAGTCTTCTTTAACCTTTTATAACTAATTCAGAAATCTTTTCTAGGTACATCTTTAATTTTCTACTTTATGTGCTCATTCCATAATACTATCTTCCCTTTGTATAACGAGTCCAGTAGGAGAATGAATTGAAGGTAAAATGACCAAAACACAGTCAAGTTTAGGATCAATTCAATCCACATATGCATCTTGCAGTCTTTGTTCTACCAGAATTAACTCTTTTTCTGCTTCAGCTCTTAGAAATCTTGGACTGTTTAAATCTGAATCTCCTTGTAATGTTTGAAACAAATTACTTAACTCATAAGTACGTAATCCAACCGTAGGCCTCAGCCAGTTAATTTCTCCCATTATTATTATTTTTTTTAATCATTAAGAGTTTGCAGTTGGTTCCTGTACCTTTTGTGGTCGAGTTTTTTGTTGACTTATTTTATAACTGAAATGGCTAAGTGAATCTCTTTGTATTTTTTCTGGAGCAGTCTGTAAACCCCAGCATGGCAGAATTCTTTGTGTTTCCTTAAACATTTTTTTCTAAAGTATCTGCATTAGAATGAGCCAAGGAAATAAATGATAGATTGAGGAAATTGCTTATGAATTATTATCACACAAAATATTGACAACAACTGAGATTAGTGTATGTGTTTGTTTTTAGAGACAGGGTCTACTTACATAGCCATTGGTTGGCTGGTCAGACCTTTCCTGGCTGGCAAAGAGTAATGGGCAAAGTTGGAAATGTGCAGGTTTCCGAAGAAGAGGTTTCTGTTAAAGCTAGGTCCTTGGAAGCCAGCAGTGGGGAAAGGAAAGGTTTCACTGCCCAGGCTGGCCTTGAGCCTATAAAGATCAGCTTGCCTTGTCTCCTAAACACTGAGATTTATGGTATGTGGTACCAAAGTTGACTAAAATAAATACTTTTAGCTGGGTGGTGTTGGCATACACCTTTGATCCCAGCCCTTGGGAGGCAAAGGACAGCGTGGCCTACAGAGTGAGTTCCAGGACAGCCAAAGCTACATAGGGTAACCCTGTCTTGAAACAACATAATGGCATGGTGGCACATGTCTGTAATACCAACACTCAGAGAGGCAGAGGCAGGCAGGATTGCTCAGAGGTGGCCGGGCTCATCTATAGAGTAAATCCAGGACAGCCAGGGCTACTCGAAAGAAAGAAAGAAAGAAAGAAAGAAAGAAAGAAAGAAAGAAAGAGAAAAGAGGTTTTTTTTTTTTTTTCCATTAAATCACTTTTAAAAACTAAAAAACATGATTTTTGTTTTCCTAGAATGGCTTCTACAAGAAGGGCCATTGGCCCTCCACGTGGTGCTTTTGACTTCAATGATATGTTCTTAGAAAGCTCAAGGATGGAAGAGATCCTAAACTTACAAGCCCGAAGTCTTGGCCAGCAGGCACCTGGGCAGAGCAGAGTCCTAAAGAGAAACCAAATGATGGATGAGAAATACTTGATGCCCAAAGAGGAGACCATGCCAGGGAGGGGTCCCAGGCTGGACCTCAGGCCCCCCACCATCTTCTCTAAGACCAGAGCCAATGAGGCCCTTAGGAAACTGGCCCAGATTGAAACCAAGATCCTGAGGCGGAAGCAGGCATCCTCGGCTTTGACTGACACAGAATTTGACTCTCTGAGCAGTGAGAAGAGTCTTCCTAAGAAGACATCTGCAGCATCTTCTGTATCTTCCCAGTATCCACACAAAACTTTCCAGAAACAAATATGTAAAACCTCTGTAGCAAAGAGCAATGGGCAAAGTGGGAAAGGTAGCAGGTTTCTGAAGAAGAAGGAGCTGCCCACTGAAACTAGGTCCCTGAGGCCAGCCGTGGGGGAAGGGAAGCAAGTTCAGCTGCCTAGACAGAAAGAACCTGCCAGAAAGTGTGATGTCCCCGACAGTGATGAGGAAGAAATGAAAATGCTGCTTGGAAGCTTGATGGAATCTTCTGGAGAAAAAGAAACAAATAAAAGTAGCGAGCTCCCCAGCAGGAGTGGCCATGGAGAGCTGTTCTCGGTAAGGCGTTCTTGTTTGTCTGTCTGTTTTCTTTCCTTTGTAAAAGTTTATCTACCTATCTATTTATTTATTTATTTATACAGTCTTCTGACTGGATGTGTCCCTACATGCCAGAACAGGGCACTAGTTCTCATTATGGTTTGAGCCATATGAGTGGCTTGCTGGGAATTGAACTTAGGACCCTTAGAAAGTACAGTCAGTGCTCTTAACCTCTGAGCCATCTCTCCAGCCCCCTTGTTTTTGTTTTTCAAGACACAGTTTCTTTCTGTAGCCTTTGTTGTCCTAGACTCGCTTTATAGACCAAGCTAGCCTTGAACTCAAGGAGCTCCTGCCTCTGCCTCCCCAAGTGCTGAGATTACAGGCTCGTACCAACATGCACAGCTTTGTTTGGTGTTTGTTTGTTTTTGGGGGATTGTTTGTTCGATTGGTTTGGTTTTTGTTTTTTTCAAGACTTGGTTTCTCTGCGTGGCCCCAGCTTTCCTGGAACTCATTCTGAGACCAGGCTGGCTTTGAATTCAGAGATTCACCTACTTCTGCCTTATGAATGCTGGGATTAAAGGTGTGTGCTGCCACTGCCCAGCTGTCCTGAGTACTTTGTCAGCTTGACACAACTAGGAGCCACCTGGGAAAAAAAGAAATCTCAGTTGTTGGATTGCCCACATCAGACTGGCCTACTGCCATGTTTTGAAGAATGGTCTTTACTGATGTGGAGGCTTAGCCTACTGTGAACTGGTGGTGCACATGTGGTCTGTGGCTGTGAGGGAAAGCTGGTTGAGCCTGTGGGAGCAAGCTATTGTGTGACACCATTGCCAGGGAGATGTGAATAGACATCTCCTCACCTCAGATAGGGAACCACTGACAAATGAAAGCACAAACAGGACATAAGTCCAACTTGTAGAAACAATGAGTTTATTGGGGTTACTTACAGGGGTAGTGACGACTGAAGGACAGCTGATGACCGGAGCCCATCCCAGTACAGGTAACAGCTCATGGTTGTGAATACACATGCCAGGCAGCACTTTGGCCATTTGGCCTCATTGTTTACCAGAGCTACAGTTGTTATTTTACTCAAGCCTGACTCTCCTGACCCCGAGGTATTATGTCAGTTCAGAGTTCACTTCCAACCACTTGTGCCACTGTTTTAATAGCTGGCCTTCCTCCCACCCCCAGACAGGGTCTCTCTGTGTAGCCATGGCTGTCCTGGAACTTAGGCTGGCCTCCAATTCACAGAGATCCACCTGCCTCTGCCTCCTGGGACCAAAGGTGTACATCACCATGGCCACTGCCTGGGACTGACATCATAGCGTGTAGGACCCACAGCTGACTAGGACCTTCCTTGGGTCATGCCTCTCCCCAGCACCCTGAGTACCAACTTCTGGCGTGAGACCACGTGGAGGAGAAACTTTTTGTTTTGTTTTGTTGAGACAGGGTCTCTATGCAGCCCTGGCTGTCCTGGAATTAGCAGTGTAGACCAGGTCGGCCGGCCTCAAATTCACAAAGATCTGTCTGCCTCTGCCTTTGGAGCACTGGAATTACAGGCGTGCACCTGGGCAGCCACACTGTTGGCTCAGCCCTGCAAGCAAAGCAAAGGTCTTGCAGTGTTGCTAACTGCTATGGCAGTTGTCACCTGCCCCAGTACTGGGGATTTTCACAACCTTATTGTTCCTGGGAGCACTTGTTCCCTTCTCACAAAACCCCTTTGTCACCCTGTCTTACATGCAGCAGGCTCAGGCTGTTGCAGAATGTTTCCTTAGTCACCTTGTGGCTATCAGCCTGTCTCCTAGGGTTCATAACTGTGTTGGGTTCTGCCCTCCTTCTGGCACTCTCCAGCCTGTCTCATCATAGTCCTGAATGTGAAGAACACATGTGTTAGTGTTCTGTTCTTTGTATTTACAGAGGACAGCAGCAGAAGTGTATACATAATCGTGATGAGGCACATTGGAAGAGCCTGGCATCTGTTCTAAGTGACTACAGATGCTTGCCACTTAGAGAGACACTGAAGAGACACTTAGACCTTTACAACAGCGCAGGAGAGTTCTAGCCATTGTTTTTATTACCTGCCGCCTTCTCCTGGGGTTTGAAAGGCTGCCATTGTTTTGCTCACATGCACATACACTCCATGAACTTGGTGGGGCTGCCTATAGATGGGGCCAGCATGGCAGGGTATGCATGACTTCCTCCTTGGCTATGCCTGCCCTGGCCTCCTAGGCTAGGTGAAGAATGTTCACACAGGAGAGAACTGTCCATGGTAACACGGGAGACAGCTGCCCTCTCCTTGGTCATGCTTAATCCCTTTAACTTGAACTTGGTGTTTGTTTTCTTTGTTTGAAACAGGGTCTTTGTGTAGCCCTTGTTGTCCTAGAATCCCCTATATGGACCAAGCTGGCCTTGAACTTACAGAGACCCACCTGTCTCTGTCTCCCAAGTGCTGGGATTAAAGGAAAGCGCCACCATGCCTGGTACTAACCTGTGCTTACTTATGTCTATGGATGTTTATGTATGGCCTCTGACACGCCTTAGAACCTCTACCGTCTACAGAATCCCAGGGATTTTTTTTTTTTTTTAATTAAGAAAATTATTTTGGGCTGGAGAGATGACTCAGTGGTTAAGAGCACTGAGTGCTCTTTCCGAGGTCCTGAGTTCAATTCCCAGCAACCACATGATGGCTCACAAACATCTATAATAGAATCTGATTCCCTCTTCTGGTATGCATGAAAAAACAAAAGTGTTCATATACATACAATAAATAAATAAATCTTTAAAAAGAAAATTATTTTAAGCCGAGCAGCTGTGGCCCACGCCTGTAATCCCAGCACTCTGGAAGGCAGAGAGGCAGGTGGATCTCTGAGTTCAAAGCCAGCCTGGTTTACAAAGTGAGTCCAGGACAACCAAGGCTACACAGAGAAACCCTATTTCAAAAAAAAAAAAAAAAAAAAAAAAAAAAAAAACCAAAAAATTTATTTTATGTATAAAGTGTTTGCTTACATACATGTATGTGTACCACATGTGGGCCTGGTGCCCACGGAGGTCAGAAGAAGCTGTCTGATCCTCTGGGACTGGAGTTGTGGATGGTTTTGAGACAACTCTTGGATGCTGGGAACTGAATGTGGACCTCTGCAAGAGCAGCAAATATTTTTTTTTCTCCCAAACATTTCTTCCAAATATTCGTTTTCTCAAGACAGGGTTTCTCTGTGTAGTCCTGGCTGTCCTGGAACTCACTCTGTAGACCAGGCTGGCCTTGAACTCAGAGATCCATCAGCCTCTGCCTCTTGAGTGTTGGGCTTAAAGGTGTGGTGGGCCAGTAAATCCACAATTCATCATGGGACCTTCAACACGGACAGGTTCCCTGGCCACTCCATTTAGGGAAGGGCCTGGGAGGTTCCTAACCCTGGAGACTGCCTTTCTTCTCAGCAGGGATTAGGTGTGGGGGTGGGACAGGAAGTGGGGGGAGGTGCAGCAGTATTCCTGTGGCTTTCTGTTTTCTCTATCAGCCCCTGCTGGTGATGGGTTGGCCAGGCCTGCAGGCTTCCTAAGGCTTCACTGTCATGGTCTCCCATGCACTGTTTTCCTAAGGACTCTGCCTCGGTGTAAATCTACACACATTTGTTTGTCAGAGAGAGCTCTCTTGTTTGGCTTTCTTTTCATCTGTGTTTCATCACTTGACAGAACAGGGTCATATGTTGCTCTAAGTCACTTGTTCATGCCAAAGCCTCTTTACAAGGATCTCGTCCTACCAGGACTCACTAGAGCATCGCAGCCTCAAGGCCACTGATAGGTTGAGCTCTTGGCTTTCTTCTGAGCACTGAGCTGGGCAGCAGACCCTGCTTCCCTCCATATTATCTGATTTATTCCCTCTTTTGTGCAACAATTTCCACAGGTTCCAAGTTCCTGGACTGGAGCAAGCGTGGTGCAGACCTATCTTGTAGTCTGTTCCCTTTGCCCTCTCAACAGCTCAGCAGCCTCCCCCGTCACCTCTCCTGGCTGGGCTCCTGAGCCCTGGGGCTAGGGGTCTGAACTCTAGTCCTCATAATAGTGTAGTCAGCGCTTCTCTGGTGAGCCGTCGGCCTAGCCCTGCATGGGTTTTTATATTTGTTAGTTTATTTGTTTTAAGTTTGGGTTCATGGATGTTTTACCTGCATATATGTCTGTGTACCACATGCATGCAGTTGCCCATGGAGGCAAAAAAAGGGCATCAGATCTCCATGTGGGCACTGATCCTCTGGAAGAGGAGACAGTGCTCTTAACCACTGAGCCATCATCTCTCCCACCTCTCCTTAAAAAAAAAAAAAGATTTGTTTTAATTTTCATTTACATACCTATGTGCAGTGCCCATGGGGTCCAGAAAAAGGTCTCCTATCCCCTAGAGCTGGATTTCCAGGCAGTTTGGAGTGTCATGTGGGCGCTGGTAAGAGCCATGGTCTTCTGCAAAAGTGGGGAGCACTGTTAGTCATTGAGCCACCAGGACCCCCTGCATGTTTTGTTGCTTGGGATGAGGCCATCTTGCTGTGTACCCCTGGCCCCTGCTATTGCTGTGTAGCTCAGGCTGGTCTGGAACCCACAGTGCATTTAGAGAACCATTTTTTCCCGTTTGTTTTTTGATACAGTCTTATTGTGTGGCCAGCCTGGCTCAGCCTGAGATCCTCCTGCCTCAGCCTGTATCATGCCCAACCCCATCATTATCTGACTTCCAGAAATGGTTGATGAGAGAGAAGTGTGTGGGTGTGACACGAGTGTGCAGATGTGTGAAAACCAGAGGTCAACCTTTCATCCTCAGCCACTGTCCACTTTCCTCTTGAGATAGATCCTGTTGGCTGGATTGACTGGCCCTGGAATGAGAAGTGTACACCTCCATACCCACATTAGGGCTCAAATTCATGCCTCTGTTTTTCCACCACAGGCACTGTACTGAGTCATTGCCTCTTCCAATTTTGTTTTGTTTGTTTGTTTGTTTGTTTTTCGGGACAGGGTTTCTCTGTGTAGCCCAGGCTGGCCTCGAACTCACAGAGATCTGCCTGCCTCTGCCCTCAGTGCTGAAATTAAAGGCTTAAAGCTGTGTATCACCACCATCCTTTTTTAAATATATCATTTATTTATTCGCATGTGTGCATACGTGCATTTGTGTGTGTGTGTATACACATGTGAACGTGAATGTATGAAGACAACGTGTAAGGGTCAGTTCACTTCCCTCCACCATGTGGGTCCTAGGGATTGTCCTCAGGACCTCTGACTTGGCAGCACCTTTCTCCCTGAGCCATAGCACCAGCTGAGTCTCAACCCCCATGAATGGTTCCATGGAATGGGAAAAGTTTATGTCATTTAAGTTTGGTAACTTCAGATCTTTTTACAAAAGTAGAATCAGACGCCAGCTCCACTGGGAGTCCCATCTCAGCTCCGTGTGTACCAGTCCAGCTTACAGCCTACTCAGCCCGTGTTGTTGACTAGTGTTGGCATAAGAACTCACTCCCCATGGATTCACAATGCTGGGGACACAGCCTCCCTCACATCCTCGCCTTCCATCAGAGATGACCTTTCTAAATCAGCATCTTCAAAGATGGGGTGCATCAAGCTGGCTTCGTCCCCCAGCAGAACGGAGACAGGGACTTCAGAGGAGCCAGTCTCAGAAACTGCTGATGACAGCCTCCATGGTAACCTATCACCCTGGTGTGGGGGTGGAAGCTCCCTTCATCGTGCCCAGAGCACTGCTGTGGGCAGCGGGTGACCTACCCGCTGGTAGAGGTCCAAGGTGTGCTGCCAGCCATCCGAAATCTTCTTCAGTCAGAGACTGAGGTTCCCATAACACACAGTCCTTTTTTTTTTCAATTGTGGTAGCAGGTCCTCTTGCCTCTGAGTGTTACGAAGACAGGCATTTGCTACCAGCCCTGGTTCTGAGTCTGTTCTTTTCACATAGCTAAGCCATGGTCAAAGGATGGGAAACACACCCAAAAGTTCTGGTGCTGGCTGGAGAGATGGCTCAAAGGTTAAGAGTAGTGGCTGTTCTTGCAGAAGACCCAAGTTCAGTTCCTAGCACCCACATGGCAGCTAACAACTCTGTGTCACTCCAGTTCTTGGGGATCTGATGCTTTCTAGACACATGTGGTGGATGTATATACATGCAGACAAACATGTAAATAAATGTAAAAAAGACAATAATCTAAAAAGTTATGGCTGTTGTTGGGTATAGTGGTGCCTACCTGTCATCCTGGCATGGGACAGGGAGGTAGGTGTAGGCAGGAGGACCAGGGCTTCATGGTCATCCTCTTCCTACCAAGTTTGATGCCTACCTTCATTACATGTGACCCTGTCCTCAAAACACCTTGGCTTATTCAATCAGTTAATTTGGCAGTGCTGGACTGAGCTCCGGGCCTTGTGCATGCTAGCTGAGTGTGATAGCATGGAGCTCCCCTAGGGTGAGCACTTCAGAGAACAGAGGTTGACCTGGCAGGGGGGTTCGGACCTCTGTGGTTGCATGGTGGGGGTATTTTGCTACGTTACCACTGGGTGGGATGAGGAAGGGCAAGAAATAGTTGTGTTGAGTGACCTTGAGGGACAGAATTGATATTTTAATAGATGGCTCTATTCTTTGCTTCCCTGCCCCATACACCCATCTACACTGACCCATGCCCTATTGGTTTTGTTTCTTGACATATGTAGCTCAACCAGGGCTACCTTTGTGATCACTGGATTGGGTCTCTCCATTGGAGTCTGATGGGGTCACCAATCGGCACACAGTCAAAGACAGTGACCTCTTGCTGCCTGCATTTGTCTGTAGGAAACAGTCCAGCGGTGGGAGGAAGCCCTGCCCCTCCTCCTGTCCTGCTGACTGTCTCCTCTTGTGCAGACCTGGTGCAGGCACCTGCAGTTGTTGAGTTCCTGACTGCAGTGGTGTGTTGCAGCCTGCCTCCGGCCTTTAGCTGAGACTTCCTTCTGCCGCATCTTGTCTTGCTCTGTTCTCTAAGCTGTAGAGGGATGGCACCAGAGCTGAGCATTCCACACCACTCTCGTTCTCATACCTTGTACAGCAAGAGGCTCTCTGTGCACCCTACTTCCCTGGAGAGAGCGGCTTATCTGCTTCTTTGCTCTCAGCTCAGTGTGGAAATTGTTTCATGCCTGAGCTGGTGCCTCTTCCCTTCCTCCCTTCCTCCCTGGCTCAGACTGGCCTGGAACTCGTGACCCTCCTGAGTGCTGGGATGACAGGTGTGTACCACCATACCTCAGGTCTGACCTCACTTGTTAACTCGTCTGATGGCACTAACCTACCCATGACAATGGAAGCCCACGGCACCGTCATCTTAGACTGTCATTTCCCAGCTGCCTTAGGACTCCTGTGCCAGCATTTGCTGCCTGAGGACACATTCCTGCCATAGTCGTATGGGCGTCGAATGCCCCTAGAGGGTCACAGCACTAGCTCTGGTCATTCAGTACCTTCACTCCCACTGTCTGTCTGCTCTTCCCCCAAGAGCCCTTTCAGCCCTCCTTCCTGATGGCTAGACCCTCTTCCCCCTCCAGACAGCCCTGGATGGCAGCAGGAGGGTCTGAGACTGGCAGGCCTAGAGCGGCAGGTCTCCTCTGCCAGGTGGGGCCGTCCAGAGCTTGAGAATGGCGAGCGCTCAGGCACACGCTGGCCCCCTCTTGAGTACCATCCTGAGTATCTGTGGACTAGGCAGAGGGCCGAGTGCTGCTGTACACACCGTTCTTTTCTTTGTCTGAGATAGGTCTCTCTACACAGCCGGGGCTGGTCAGAACTCAGAGCGGTCCACCACTCTGGTTCTGGAGCGCTGGGATTAAAGGTGTGCACCACCATGCCTGGACTCTTTTTCTTACTTTTTAAAATGTATTTATTTATGTATTTTTTGTATATGTGTACATTGTCTGCATGTTTATCTACACACCAGATCCCGGTATACACAATTGTGGGCCACAGCAGGCCGTGCTCTTAACCTCTGAGCCATCTCCAGACTCTGGCTTCTTTTTCATTATCGTATGTGTATGTGAGGGAGCCCATTTCCATAGTACCCTGGGGAGTTAAGGGCAACTAGCATGTCAGCTCACCCCTTCTGCCCACTGTGGGTCCCAGAGAGTGACCTCAGGCTGTCAGGGATGGCCGCAAGCACCTTTCCTCACTGAGCCATTTCGCCCACAATGAACTTCTTTTTAATTACAGATTTTAGAATTAATATTTTGTCCATTGATGATCTGGTTCTGGCTGATGGAGACAAATCAGATGTGGAAAAGAAAGTAAGTATGATGGTCATTTTATTGTATTGGTTTACCTTTTTTTTTTTAATTTAAGATAGGGTCTTACTATATAGCCCTGACCAGCCAGAACATTCTCTATTGACCATGTCACAGAGATCTGCCTGCCTCTGCCTCCCGAGTGCTGGGACAACAGGCGTGAGTCCCACACACTTACTCTGTGTGTGTGTGCATGCATGTTTGTTCAGCACAGCTCACACTCTGTCAGAAGATGAAGTTCCCTTTATCACCTGGGTATCCTGGGATGAAACTTGGGCTGTCAGGTTTCTTTATTACCTGAACTATTGCAGCAGCCCTTATTTATGCTCTGTGCAGGGTTGGGGACAGACCCAGGTTGTGGCCTGTGCTGGGCCCACTGAAAAGTGTAGCAAGTTTGTAGCTGGAATGTTCTCTTTAGGCCATATGGCTCAGCGGCAGGAGTCCTGTTCTCCTGGGCACATTGGCAGCATTTAAGGCCTGTTGATTGTTGAGATTAGGGAACCAGCATCTGTAGGAGTGAGGGTGCTCAGTGTCCTGCAGGCACCCCAACCCCAAAATGTTATGTGTCACATGTTAAGAGTGCCACAGGGGCTGGAGAGAGGGCTCAGAGGTTAAGATCGCTTGCTGCTGATCCAAAAGTCCTGAGTTCAATTCCCAGCAACCACATGGTGGCTCATAACCATCTATAATGAGACCTGGTGCCCTCTTCTGGTGTATAGGCACACATGCAGACAGAACACTGTGTAAATAATAAATAAATCAATTAAAAAAAAAAAAAAGAGTGCCGCAGCTGGGGCTGGAAAGATGGCTCAGTGGTTAAGAGCACCGTTTGCTCTTTCAAAGGACCCGGGTTCAATTCCCAGCACCCACACAGCAGCTCATAACTGTCTGTAATGCCACTTCCAAGGGATCTGACACCTTTGTAATAATGCACGTAAAATAAAAATTAAAAAAAAAAAAGGGTGTGTGCAGCTGGTGATGAGGACAGGAAAAGAGACACTTAGTCCAGAAGGGACCACAGGGACCACAGACTGTCAAGATGCCCAGCAGGCACAGGTGTTTGCCTCTAGCCTGACAACTGAGTCTAGTCCATAGGTCCCACTGATGAAGAGACAGAAGGCCCCTGGCTTTGTCTTCTGTTACATGTACTTACTTGTACACACACACTAAACAGCATGCATGCTGTCACATGTGCACACACAGAATAACACATAATAACACACATGCATTCATTTGTATGTACACAATATATAACACGCATGTTCTTACATTTACACACATACTAAACATGCACTTGTATACACACATGCATATACACTAAATAACACACATGAACTCACTTGCATGTACACACACAAAATAACTTACATGTGCTTGTATGTATATACATGCCATTCCTGGTCTGCTTCCCCACCTGTAATGGTGGATCCTGGTAGATCTTGGGAGGGAGAGCAAGGCAGGAGCAGCTTGGGAATGGAGACCTCAGGTGGCATGTGAAAAACAGCCTTCTTGGGAGACAGCTTCAGTGAGACAGCCTTTGGGGAGTGAGTCTGGAGGCTTTTGGGGTGAGTGTACATCATTATTCTGGGGCCTAGATGCTGGGAATGCCTTATTTGCATGAAGAGGAATTCCAGGTGCTTGCTGGACATGACCTTATAAGGAGAGAGGAAGTTTAACCTATAACCTGGCTGCCAAGCTAAGTGACCACCTCAGTGATGGCAGAGGTGTGGGCTGTAAAGAAAACAAAACAAAGCTGGGCATAGTGGTGCACGCCTGTAATCCCAGCACTCAGGGAGGCAGAGGCAGTTGGATCTCTGTGTGTTCAAGGCCAGCCTGGTCTACAAAGTTAGTCCAAGACAGCCAACGGTACAGTGAGAAACCCTGTCTCAAACAAACAAACAAACAAACAAACAAAAAGAAGTGATCAGAACCATCCCCATCCCTACCCCCCCAAACAGTGTTTCTCCATGTAGCCCTGGCTGTCCTGGAACTCACTCTGTAGACCAGGCAGTTCTTGAACTCAGAGCTGCCTGCCTCTGCCTCCTGAGTGCTGGGATTAAAGGTGTATACCACTATGCCTAGCCAAAACCCCTTTTTACAGTAGCTCTCATAGCCAGGGCTGAGCAGCTGCATTCCCCAGCCACATGCAGCCCCAGGCTTCTGTGCACATCTTCCTGTTCAGGTGTGTGTTTGGTGGCACACAAGGGTACACCTTTAAAATTTTTAGCACCCAGCTGTGCATGGTAGTTTCAGACCTGTTAATCCTGCACTGTGGAGCTGGAGGCAGGAGGGTCAGAATTTCAAGGCTGTCTTTGTTACTGGTATTGTGTCTGTGATCAATACCAAATAGCAGCAGCTTAAGGGTTTTAAGGAAGGCTGAGGCCCAGTGCAGGAGGCTGAAGCTGGTCATGTCACATCTACAGTTCAATGCTGGCTTCCCTTTTTGCTTTTAATTCAGTCTGGGACTCTGCCCACAGCCAGGTCCCCTTCCCATCATAGACACAACCCAGTGATGTTTCCATGGTGATCCTGGATCCCATCAAGATTAACTCTTGCACATTCTAGTCAAGACCAGCATGGGAGTATGAAACCCAGTCTGCCTCAGTCACGGTTCTGCTGCTGTGAGAGAACAGGATGACCATGACAACTTTTTGTTTGTTTGTTTGTTTTGTTTTGTTTTTCCAGGAAGTGTCTCTCTGTGTAGCCCTGGCTCCTGGCTGTGCTGGAACTCACTTTGTTGACTAGGCTGGCCTCAAACTCAGAGAAAAAAAGAGTTGCCTATGGCAACTCCCCCACCCCCGCCCCGCACACAGGGTTTCTCTGTGTGGCCTTGGCTATCCTGGCTGTCCTTGAACTCACAGCAATCCTCCTGCCTCTGCCCTCAGAGTGCTGGGATCACAGCTGTGCGCCACCACGCCTGGCTCCCAGGACAACTCTTATAAAAGAAAACATTTAACTGGGAGCTTGCTTACAGTTTCAGGCTTTGTCTATATTATCATCATGGCAGCAGGCAGGCAGGTACTGGATGTAGCAGAGAGCTACATCCAGATCCATAGGCAGAAAGGGAGAGATTCTGGGCCTGGCATGGGCTTTAAAAACCTCACAGCCTATTCCCAGTGACACACCTCCTCCAACAAGGCCAAACCTCTTAATCCTAATGGTTCTTTCAAATCGTGACACTCCCTAAGCATTTAATATATGAGTCTGTGAGGACCTTTTCTATTCAGACCACCACACTGTCCAAAAAAGAAACCCAAAGTTCCTCAGATGTGCTGGCCATGCCTGTAATCCCTGCAGCAAGGAAGCTACAGCAGTAGGACTGCTGTGAGTCTGAGCCATACTGATGTACATAGTTCTAGATGAGCCTTGCTCCCAGAGTGTCGTCCTCAGCCTGCAGAAGGAGAAAGAAGCCTTGTGTGAAGTGCTTCATGGTTCTGGTTCAGGCTTCAGCACAATGGGGCAACAGAATCTAAGCATGCAGAAAGCTCTGGCCTTCATTCCCAGACACTGGCCTCCCGCAGACAGCCTGGAGCTGCCATTTTTGCAGGAGTAGGGCATTTTTTACGTTTTTGATTCTGGGTTTCTGGAGGTACATGCATATGCATGCAGTGCCCATAAAGGACAGGAGAGGGTGTCAGATGACGGTGAGCCCCGCTGTGGGCTTTGGGGGCATCTGCACATGCACCCCTCTCCAGACTCACGTTCTCGTACATGAGAGTGGGTTTCACAGCTTTTCATCGGGTTTACTTTTTATGAATTTTTCTTTGCTTTTTTAATTAATTAATGAATTAATTAATTCATTAACAACCTGATATCCAGGTTGTTACACTTGGCATGGAGTATCTTTACCTTCTGAGCCATTGTACCAGCCCACAGATAGGATGCTTTAAAATATTTTCTTTGAGAAGATGAGGGGGACAGGGACAGGGTTACTCTGTAGCCTGGCCTGGCCTCAGAGTCGGCGTCCTCTTGCCTCTGCATTCCAAGTGATGAGATTGCAAGCGTGATACACCACAACTGTCTTTATTTTTACTTTTGTTTTTCTGAAAAAGGGTCTCACGTAGCCCAGGATGACCTCCAGTTCACTGTGTAGCTGATGCTGGCCTTGAACTCCTGATCTTTTGACACTGCACCTTTAGTTCTGAGATTACAGGTCTGTACTCTGTAATCTCTGTAATCAAGGTCTCTGCCTGATTACTTCTTGTTTCTGAGAGAGGGTATTGCTATGTAGCACAGGCTAGCCTAGAATTTGTGGTTCCCTCCCCTTGAGTGCTGGAGTCACAGGTGTGTGCTGCTGGCCTGGCTGATGGGGCTCTGTTCCAGTTCTCCAGAATCCCCTCCAGCTCTGTCACCCTTGCTCCTTTTAGGAGGAAGATTCTGGAAGGGATTGGGTACCAGGCAGAAGCTCCCCACCTATGTCACCTTCTCAACTGGAAGTGCAGAGGGCTACCCAGCGCAAGGCCTCTACATTTCAGGGCACAGCCACCGTGGTTGAGGATGAAGAGGACCTTGCCACTGAGAGTGAGGTCTCGGAGCACCCGGTTGCCAGCTCTGCCCCAGCTGTCCAGTCTCACAGTGTGTCTAGCGCGTGCTCTGTGGAGACTCCTCCCAGTGCACTCACAGCCAGTCCAGCTTATTCTGAGGATTTTGAGCAGTCCTCTGGTCCCTTGGCCTCAGAGGCATCTCTTGACAGGACGCTAGACACTTTGTCGAAGTTTTCTTCCAGTAGACAGACAGATCTCTCCAGACAATCTCCTTCGAGGACAGAGTGGGGCAGAAGTGTGAGTAGAGTTGTGAAAGAGACAGCTGTGCAAACGCTTGACCCTGCCTTTGCCTGCCAGTGGAGCCAGGGTGAGTGAGGGGCCTGGGAACCTGGCAGGCCTGCGTGGTGCTGCGGCGGCCCTGGGAGTGTGTTCCTCCCATCTGGGCTGTTGGCAGTAGCTGGCTTTGGAGGGATTGGCACCCCATTTCCTCTTCCTGGGACAAGGGGCAGCAGCTAGAGTGTTTCCAGTGGCTCCCCACATCCGAAACTTAGGTTTCAGAACCAAAGACTGAGACCAGTTGAGCCATTCAGACCCTAGGAAGACAGTGAAGTTTGAGGATAGTTCAGAACACCATGCCCATCAGGACTGTCCAGATGTGGTCTCTGGCTCCTCCTGTCCTTTTCAACATTGCCCTGGGCCTTTTTCTTACCTGGCTAGCTGCTGCCCTCTCCCTTTCCCCCTTCCCCTCCCCTGAGGTGAGGCCTGCAGTCCTCACTTGATGGCTTGCTTTCAGTTTGTGGTTTAAGTGTACACTAGCCTGACCTTATTGCAGCCAGGGGCCCTTCATCTGATCTCCAGGAGATCGGTGGCCAAATGAGGTCTCTCAACGGCGTTAAACCTCCACTTTCTGTATACACACACACACACACACACACACATCTTTTAGGGTTTTTGTTTGTTTGTTTTTGAGACACGGGTCTTGTGTAGTTTACACTGGCTTCAAATTGGACCTGTAGCTGAAGATGACCTTGAACCGATCCTCCAGCCTCAGCCTCCTTGAGTGCTGGGATAATGGGTCTTTGCCACCACTCATGGTGCATAGGGTACAGGGGATGGACTCACTCAGGGCTTTGTGCAAGGTGCGCGGGCTCTGAGGGCTGAGCCATACCCCAGCCCATCTTTGGGGAAAACCTGAATTTGAGAAGTGAGAAGACAGCTCAGTGCTTGGGCTCTTGCCTTGAAAGAGTGAGGGAGGACTGGGGCTAGTAAGATGGCTCAGTGGTTAAGAGCAGCTGTCTGCTCTACCAGAGGACCCAGGCTGAAGTCCCAGCACCTACATGGCAGCTCACAACTGTCTGTAACTCCAGTTTCAGAGGGTCTGAAAACTTCACATCAATTCACACAAAATAAAATTAAGTAAGTAATTTTAAGAAAGTTTGAGGACCACAGTTTGGAACTCAAGACCCCATGCAAATGCCAGGTGCCTGTGCTGGCTCACCTGGCCTCCCGGCCCCGGAGCACAGAGCCAGAGGCCCCAGAGTAAAGTGGGTATGCATGTGGGGGTTCCTAACATCAGCCTGAGTCTACACACATGCACATCACACGCACACAGGAAGGATGCATGGAAACAGTACAGAACTGCTTGTGCACATGTGAACCTGGATGCCAAGAGGATCAGGCAAGATTTCTGGAGCCCAGGAACTCAAAGTGAACCTGAGCACTATGGCGTCCAGACCCATTTCCAACAAACCAGTAAGCAATCCAGGAGGCAAGAATGGGTGACCTAAGCTTAGTTCATTTCATGTGTGTAGACTAGAGGCCCTTATAGCACACTCAAAAGCCCCTCTTTGTCTTTGGCCAGCTGGCGGCATGGCAGCCATTGGACCTGCCCTTGGAGGCGCCTATGTGGACCCAGCTCCCATTGCCAGTCACATTGTCAGCACGGACACCATAGAAGGTAACAAGATAGCTGGTGGCTCATTCCTCCCCTTCAGTGTCTGGCCATTCCTGTGGCACAGGGCAGTGTTCTTTAAGGGTGGCTTTGAGGAGTCCTTGGGGAGGGCCAGCAGTCGGTAGACCCAAAGGGTGGCTGGAACCGCCTTCAGTCTCTGGCAAAGGGACACCTAGGTTTAACCAAATCCACCAGCCTGAAAGCAATTCAGGGCTGGTGGTCAGCTGGGAGGAGAAGCCCTGGGCCGAATCTGGCCCTACCAAGAAGACACTATTGGGTAATTTTGCCGATGTCCAGTTTTGTTCCCCACTTGGCCAATCCTAAGCCTGTAATCAAAGCTACTTGGATAGCTGAGGTTGGAGGATCACTTGAATGTAGTTTATAGTGAAATCCTAGTTCTTAGAACCAAAACCAAAACCAAAACCCAAACCAAACCAAACTGTGTCTTTGCGTGTGGGGTAGGGGTAGCAGGTGTAAGGTTTCAGCACACAGCCCAGGCTGGCTCAGAGCTCCCGGTCTTAGTACCTCACACCCCTCTGTTTGGGTAGCAGGCATGTGACACCATGGCCAGCTAAGGAAAGATTTTTTCATCTATTAGTGAAGCTAGTATGTCATTGTTGTGTGTAGTTAATATAGAATGCAGTCACAGGAAGAGCCTCATGGCTAGGGGCAGACTGGCCACAAAGTAGTCTGCAGGAGTCTGGGCTCATGGGGCCAGGAGGCATGGGTCGTACAGGTGGCATCTGCAAGACCCATGTGGCACTGGGGAGCAACTGAGTGACATGGGGTGGGTGCAGCCCTGACAGCCTACAGCCCTGCCATGTTGGCACTGAACGACATGCTGAAGCAGCAACTGAACCTGACGCAGCAGTTCATCGAGGCCAGCCGCCACCTGCATGTGTCCCTTCTGCAGTCTCTGGATGGGGACTCCTTTCACTACCACACGTTGGAGGAAACCAAAGAGGTAACTGGTGCACAGCTCGGGGAGGGGTGGTCACATCAGAGATGACCTGAAGCAGACAGTGGGCCTGGACTTTCAGACTGGGTCTCTATAGGGACTTCTGACATCCATGTCAGGGGACAGGTTCTGTGTCCTTTCACCCCAGAAGTGCTGTAGCTTGTCTCCTGGGCTTAGTTCATGAGCACACCCTCAGTGCTTGTTTATAGATACGGTGGGCTGCCTGGAACTCCCTCTATAGACCAGGCTAGCCTTTAACTCAAGAGATCCACCTGCCTCTCTGCCTCTGTTCATGTGCCATCTCTGCCTGGCAGTTTTTTTTTCTATGCATGTGTTTTGCTGCATTTATATGTGTGTGCCTGGTGCCTGATGTCAGAAGAGGGCATTTGATCTTCTGGAGCTGGAACAGAGGCAGTTTGTGAACTGCCATGTGGGTCCTGAGAACCAAACCCAGGTCCTTTGCAAGGGCCCCCGGTGCTCTCAGCCAATTTGGCCTCACTTTTGGAGCCTGAGCTGGTCTCAGCCCCTCCCCCTCCCAGAGTGCTGTGATGGAAGCATGCATAACCTTACCAAGCTCCAGTTTCACCTAGTCAGAGGACCGCGGGCAGGTTTGGGTTTCTTCTTCCCTAAGTCTTGTGGATTTAGGTCAGGTCATCAGCCCCATTTGCAGGTTCCACATTACTTTTGATGGGTCTTGCTGTGTAGCCCAGCCTGACCCAGAACTTTACATTCTTGCTGTGTAGCCTCAGTGTGTGCCGCTGTCATGCCCAGTTCAGTGAGAAGTTTGATACGGTGTCTCCAGCCCCTTATCTTAGACTGTCCACATCACCTGAACCCACTGTTGGCTCTCCACTCCAGGACATCTTGAGTGTAGCACCCTGGGGCAGCATGACTCTCAGACTGTCTAAGGCCCAGCCCCAGTTTCCTGTCATTTTACTTATAGTCCTATGTTCTACAGTACATTAGGTGCCACAGGCCTGCACCCCTGACCATGGAGGCTGCCCTGCAGGAGGTGAGGGAGGAGCTCAAAGTCTCAGCAGGTAAGGTTTGCCTCGGCACCTGTCCACCTCAGAATAAATGACATCCATGTGGGGGGAAGTCAAGGCTGGGGCTTTCCCTGCTGATCCCTGCTCAATAACAACCAATACATGGACTCTACGCCCCCATCTGTCCAGGTGGCTGCTCTGAGGACACAGTGAGGACAGCTGTAGAGCTGCCACAGGCCAGTCACAGCAGGATGGAGCCATGAGGTGGTGCGACAGACAGTATGTGCCATGTTGATCACTCAAGATGGGACCAGCCACCCCATGGGAACACTCCATGCCAGGTGCTGAGACAGGTCTTCTGAGCCACAGCTGGCATCTACCCAGAGCAGCCTGCGCCAGTGCACACCTCTTACCCGCAGCTGGAGGAAATCTTTTACAAAAGGCTTTATTTGAAGGCAAAACAGTAAAATTCACAATCAGTTGTTAACAGAACATATGTGTCTGCTTGTTTATCCTGAGTCAGACACGTCTGAATGTCATAGCTATGGGAAATCTAAGACAAAAACTCAAGTGTCTTATGTGGTACTGAAAAGTTGTAGGACTCTGCATTTTACTGAAAAGAACATTTCAAAAGTTTCTGTACAAACAATGGCACCAGGCTGCTCCTTCTGGACCTCACCTTCCTCCCTTTTTGGGAATGGCTAGGGCACCCAAATTAAATGGCAGCATAGGAGGTGCTGGCTGTTGGGCTTCCCCAGGCGGAAGCGCAAGCTCGGGCACAGCGCTTGATGAAGGGGCTGTGGAGGCAATCTTTCCCTGACCCAAGGGAGCTTAGTCCAGCCTCAGAAGCTGTATCCAGGTAACAGGGAACGGCTAACATTTGAGGAGATTATAAAGTACAACTAAACAATGAACTGAGGAGTCAAGGGTCTGTCTTTGTTTTCTTTTCTATTTTTTTTTTTTTTTTTTAAACACAAAATCAGGTGGAACAAGAATGAAATCCCTTCGGAGCCAGGCTTTCCCTGCTGCCATGAGCAGAGTGGGCCAGCTTTCTCATCACCAGGGTCCTGGCTGCATAGCACTGAGATTGGGACTTAGGTTCTGGGCCGGGGGTGGGTGGTATGGTGGGTGGTTTTAAGCTTTGCTATCTGAGTGTTATCTGCAGCACCTCCTCCAGGGCATGTGCAAGCCAAGCCGGAGCCCCTTCCATGCTGCAGCGCTGAGGCTTCTGGTTAGTCTTCCTTCTCTTCCTTTCGTGCCCCAAACGTGGAAACTGTATGAGAACAGAGCCGTCACCTCCACCTTTCCAGCACTGAAGCTAAGCGCCTCGTGCCCACCCACACCCACTACTCACACTCATCTCGGGCTTTCATACGGGCAATGAAGGAGTAGCTCTTGTTGCGGCGGTAGTTCTCGTAAGGGTCATCCAGGGCCACGCCCACGCCCTTATACTGGTCCCACTTATCCCGGACATCACCGCCCTTAATGGGGTCCTGGATGCCCTGTTCCTTTGCACCAAGGCCACCAGACCCGCTCCAGCCTTCAGTGAGGAAAGAATGCGGCAAGGCTGTGACTGTGTCCTCAGGGAGCAGCCACCAGAACTCCCAGCAGGATCCCAATCACGTGGTGCAGGAATCTGGCACTGGTCTGGGTATACTCACCCATCTTTACCAGCATCTGATGGCCTTTATTTTCTTCTCCAAGCCTCGAGTCTGGTATGGGAGGTGCTGAGTTAGAACCGAGGCCAGCTGCGGAGCTGGAATGAAGAGAGCCATGTTGTAAGCCATGACCACTACCAGGGGCTCCTGAGCACCAAGAGCAGCCAGTTAAGCATGGGAACCAAGGGCCTGTGGGTTGGCCTAGTAGCTCTAAGCAACGGGCTTACGGTGGGGTAGGGCTCCGGGACCTGGAGCGGCGCCGCCTCCCAGGGGAGTATGACTTGGACCTGGACCTGGACCTGGACCGTGAGCGGCTTCTGGAGGAACGAGACCGGCTGCGGCTTCTGTGGGGACAGCGGGACAGTGGGACAATGGGACACTGTCAGGAACGGCACTCACGGGGCTTTGCAATGATCCGATGTGCCTACCTGGACCTAGAGCGGGAGGAGGACCGGGACCTCGACCGGGACCGTGAGCGGGAGGAGGAGCGCGAGGACTTTGAGGAGCGTGAACTGGAGCGAGATGATGAGCGGCCTCGGCTCTTGGACCTGCTGCGTGACCTGGAGGGCCCGCTGCAGGGAAATGCCACAATGAGGACAGCACAGTTAGGCAACCATATACCACGGTGCCAGCCTTATGACACCCACGGCTCACCTGTTCCTCTTCTCCTGGCCCTTGCGCCGCCGCGCCCGCATCTTAGCTCGGAAGAACTCGTAGAGGCCATTCTGTTCCCAGCCCTCACTGTAAGACAAGGTCCCCATGAGGCGGTCAGCCCTCAAGGACCATGATGGCCAGAGAGGGATCCTCTGCACTAGGAAGCTAAACAGGAGGCAGGCGGAGCTCTGCTGCTTATCCTGGTAGACACCCAGACCCCAGGTAACCTCAAACACAACCACTGCTTTCTCAGTGGCTGCCCATGGCAGGCTGGACCACGGCTGGAGGGCACAAGGCCAGCACTCCACTGCCCATCATCTAAGACCCATGCATAGCACGGTCTTCAGAGGAACTGTGTCCTCACAAGCAGTGGGAGCTCAGCCAGGCCCTCAGGGCCCAGCCTCCCTACCTGTTCCTCGGCCTGTCATGGGAGGGTGGGCTGTAGAAGGCCTCCACAGCAGCAAGCAGCCTCTCGCTGGGAGGCATGGGGGGTGGCAGGCGGATATCTTTGGGGTCCAGAGGCTTGTACTCATGGTCCTCCAGCTGTAGGAAAACACAGCTGTTGCCTGCACCCTGAGGAGCCCTCCCTGGCCACCCCAACAAAAGACAGCAGCAGCAAGGCAGGAACCCACCCGACAACATCAGCATGCCCCTCCTCCCTTCTAAACTAACCCTGGCAGTGCCCAGTATCACCTTCACAAGGGGGGCCATTAACCCCGCTGGAAGATCGAAGTAGGGCACATTGGGGACCAGGCTGGGGTCATCATGGTTGATGTGAGGTGGGCCCTGTCGCCGCATGTGGGGAGGCTGGCCATTGAAGCCGTGGGGAGGAGGGCCAAAGTCTGGGTGCTGGGGCCCAGCCCAGGGCGGGTGCTCATTGATCCCAGGGTGTGGCATGCGGTGGCCAGGGTGGTGATGAGGGGGTCCCATGTCTGCAAAACAAAACATTGTCTCCAGCTGGCTGGGGTAGTCAAATTGGGCAAGAAGGCTACTGGGACTCTGGGAAGAAGCAAGCAGTAAGACGGAATTGCAGTGCTTGGGGTCTGGAACTCTCAAAGACATTAGTTCAGCTAAGGGGACTCAAGTGAGAAGACTGAAGGACCACCACAACATCCAGTGGCAGTGAGCTAAACTTCCACCACCTCATTGGGTACTTACTATTTCTTCTCTGCCAGGACCCAAGCACAGGTGAGCTACCAGCTGGGCTCAAAGGGAAAAATTAAAGAAAGCTAGGTCTCTGGTTAATTCCTAACCCAACTGCCTGGGATCCTCAGAAGAGAGCTGGGAGGACACAGGCAAAGGAAAGGAAGCCTTTGTGAGGCCAGCCCTGAGGACCCCGTAGTGGCATAGATCTTTACAACTGAGGCACACCAGGGGCTTGTGGCTTCTGTTCAGGCTAACACAGTGACCACAGGAGAAAAGACTTAGGCACAGCCATGAAGGACAGCATAGCCAGGGAAGGAAAATGGTGCTCAAAGTACAGATGGGCAAAGTCTGCCTGGGCACTCCTGGCCTGTGTGCCAGGGACTCCAGAGCTGCCTTAGCACAGATGGCAGGGGCCTGGCTCCTAGCATGTGTGGGTGCAGGGTGCAGCTATCCTTGTCTGTCATCTCTACAGCGCTGACAGCCAGTAGCAGAGAGGCAGGCCTGGGACACCCCAATGGACCTTCCTACTACACTGGCCACTACCCACCTGCTGGGAAGTCTCCCTGGGGATAGTCGAAGCGGTGAGGGTAGGGTGGTCGCTCAAAAGGGTGGCGAGGTGGGAAGTCATCCTGCATGAAGCGAGGTGGGAAGCGGTTGAAGTTGTGGGGGTGTGGAGGCTGATTGAACTGTGGGTGCTGCTGGTGGGGTGGGAAGGGCCCACGGAAGTGGGGGGGCCGCTGCATCCGGAAGGGCGGCTCACGCTGGGCACCACCCCAGGGTGGCGGCTCATGCTGATTGTTCCATGGTCCTTCAAACTGGTTATTCCAATTGGGGTCTGGCTGGTTGTTCCAGGGAGCATCTCGCTGTCCATTCCAGCCAGGGTCCCCCCGCTGCTCACCCCACATGCCCTCATGGCTGTTGTTCCAGGGTGGGCAGTGGGGCGGTCCACCTTGGTGGTGAGGGTATGGGGGCTGTTCAGGGGGCTGCAAAGCAAAGCACAGACATGAGCTCAAGAGGTCAAGTTACCTCCCTTACCCCAGGCAGCATAAGCAGCACTCCACTCTACCCCTAGGAACAACCAGGAACTCAATCTTCCTGCCTCAGCCTTCCAAAGACTGGGATTATAAGCATGTCACCTTGGCCTGGCTCCATCCAGCCCCAATTCCACTTCCAGGGACGAAATCCAGTGCCTCTCCATCTACCTGGGCTGCCCACTCACCCCTAACCTCTAGTTTTGGTGGTGGACTGACTGTCACACTGGCTTCTTTACAGTGGACCAGCCCTCCAGCCCCTAGATCTTACTGAGCCTGCACAGATGAGGTCTGTTACCCATCTCTCACGAGATTCCCATGCGACCAACCCAGCAGGCTCACAGGTAGCACAGGGACATGGCTGCCATCTCCAGGGGGTGTCTATCTCATGCCAAGTAAACCTGCTAGTCCTGAAGCTGAGGGGTAAAAGGCTAAGATCTGAGACCCTGCAGCTCTCAGGCCAGAGCCATAACCCTTGCACCCATTACTATCCCCTATATTCAGAGTCACCAGTAGGCCATGCCCTGTTGAGGAGAAAGTCTGCTGTACCCATACTCCAGCTAATATCACCTGGAAAATAACAGAGCAGTTTTGGTCATGCTATGCAGCACCATGTGACCTCTGCCCTGGTCTAGAAGCTTCCAACCCTGAGCCACCTAGACTCCAGGCACTTCAGCCACCATCTGCAGCCTTCTGGAGAGGCCTACCACGTCTTGTCTTCCTTCCATTCCCTCCAGATGGATATGAAAGCTATGCTAGTAAAGACAGGTAAAGGAGTACCCTGAGTGGCCCAAGAAACGGTGACGTGGTGGTAGAGACAGGGGTCTGCTTAGGCTCTATTGTCCTTAATCCTCTATGGCTGATCCTACCTGCTGCCCTACAAGACCCCACTAGGTTCAGCCATGCCCGCATGCTCCAACAGAGTTTAGAATGTACCTGCTGTTGACCCCAAGGGGCAACAGGATGAGGCTGATCAAACCAAGGGGGCTTGTTTGGTGGGATCTGCTCATGGGGGCCAGGACCCCGAGGACCAGCAGCTGCAGGATCCTGGACACCTGCTGAGGCATCGTACTCTGAGGAGCCAGGCATCTGGATGGGAGGCTTGTTGTCATCTAACACAAGTGACAGGCAATGAGGTGGGCAGTCAGCAGGAGGAGAGACTGTTGACCCTCCAGCACCCCAAACCAGCCCAGGACAGGAATGGTCTGTACTTCCTTAGCTCACTGGAAACCACCACTGCCAATGTCACCACCACCACCACCCTCTAGTGACACAAGGCATTCTAATGCTCATGACACATGCTGTCTTCTTTATGGTTCACAGAATTATTGAGCTATTTCTTAAGAAAGTCATTTGTGTGTTTACATGCATATGGTGCATGTGGTGGTCGGAGGGCAAGTTTTGGCAACAGGCTCTCTTGTCATCCTGCAATCCCAGGGATCAACCTGAGGTCATTAGACCCTGTAAATATGTCTCCCTGCTGAGCCATCTTCTGGCACTACACCCCAGTTTTCTAGTCTCTCAGTGAATATGGAGGCCAGTGACCTCCATGCCTGCATGGCAAGCACTTTACCGAGTGAGCCATCCCTGTGGCCCCAGCTGAACATGCTTCATCTGAAACTTAAACCCCAAAAATTCTTTTGGGGGAATGTTTTTGAGGCAGGGTCTCACTATTCAGCTCTGGCTGGCCTTGAACTTAGTTTTTCTGCTTCAGGCTCAGGCTCAGTTAGTTAATAACTAATCATAGCTATTAGTCATCATATACAGCTGAAGCTCTTCTGAGATACCAATTCTTGCCTTAGAGCCCAGGCCGGTCTAAAACTTAAAATCCTGCCTCAGTTTCCTAGGTGCTCATTTCAGATCTTGTCCAGGTATCCTCAGAAGTGGTTCTTTACATATACATGTATACTACAAACACTAGATACACACACGTAAAGGTTTATGTTTATGATTCAACTGTATGTGTGGAGCTCACCCCGCTTGGATCACACTTTTAACCATATATCAAGTGTGGATTAGGCCTGCCTTCTTCCTCTTTCTGTTCTGGGTACACATGCAGATTAATTTTGGCCCAACAGTGGGCGGGCTGTAGAGCAGGTGACTGCCATTCAGGGAACCTCATACCTGGCTGGGTAGTTGGTGGGATTGTGGGGGCAGGCGCTGGGGCTGGAGGAGGTGCTGGTGGTGGGGGTGTGGCCTTCATTTCTGCTTCCATCTGAGGCAGCTGAATCTGGGGCTGGGGCTGTGGCTGTGGTGGCGGCGGCGGCTGCTGCTGCTGCTGCTGCTGCTGCTGCTGCTGCTGCTGCTGCTGC